TCGGCCGACAGCCCCCCGTACGGCAGCGCGGGCGGCGCGGCCGGCGGTGGGGCCGCAGGGCCCGGCAGCGCCGGCTCGGCAGCAGCGCACGTCTCTGCGCGCTTCCCCTACTCGCCCAGCCCGCCCGTGACCAACGGCGCGGCGCGGGACCCCGGGGGCTACGCGGCGGCGGGTGGCGGTGGCGCTGGCGGCGTGGGCGGCGGCGGCGGCGGCAGCCTGGCGGCCATGGGCGGCCGCGAGCACCAGTACAGCTCGCTGTCGGCCGCGCGGCCGCTGAACGGGACCTACCACCATCACCATCACCACCACCCGAACCCCTACTCGCCCTACGTGGGTGCGCCGCTGACTCCCGCCTGGCCCGCAGGACCCTTCGAGACCCCAGTCCTGCACAGCCTGCAGAGCCGTGCCGGAGCCCCGCTCCCGGTCCCGCGGGGCCCCAGTGCAGGTAAGGGGCGCGCCGCAGCCCGGGGGCCTGAAGCGCTGGGGCCTGTGGGAGGGTGTGGAGCAGCTGGTTGACTTGGGCCTTGTTTTTAGAGCTCTTCTGTCTGGGTGCCTAGAGGTCCGCCTGGCCCCAGGCCGGATTTGCAGAACTTTGGCAGGGCCACCCAGAGTCTGGCAGTGTTGATGAAGTGCTTCTATTTTGCGGATTGTTTCAGTTCCTTTCCACGAAGGAGACAAGGTGCGCATATTCATCTCAGTGCCTTGGAGAAGCTCGAGGGACTTTAACAGTGAATGGGGTGGGCAATTGGAGAAAAAAAAGCCAGGGAAGGAACTGACAGGGCCTGAGATCTGTCACAGACCCTAATTTGCCTAAATGGGAGAAGGAGACTCTACTGGGGTGGGTAAGTTTAGGGGAGTGTTGGGCCCTTGATTCACCCTCTCCTAAAACACAGTCTCACCCAGTTCAGCTCTCCAGAGGGGAGGAATTGTGTTTTCCTCAAGGAGAGTATTTAAGAGCCCCACAGTGGAAAAGGACCTAAGGACCAAGTTGGCTTCCCCTGCAGTGGGAGGGAGAAAAGAGGGGGATACCTGGGCTGGTCAGCCTTCTGACTATCCCGAGGGAAAGCTGGTGGAGAGGCCCTTTGGTTGGACATCACCTGGGCCGTGGTGTCTGGGGCTGCTGCCCCTGTCTGCCCCTGCCAGGCTGGGACCCAGGGATCCTGGCACTCCCACATCTGTTTTTCCTCCAGAGTTCAGCCTACCGATTTTTCACCAGTTTTCCATGCCACCCATACTTTCATTCCAATGTCTGGGGGCAATTTTGGGTGAACTGGGAAAACACAGTTGTAAAAATACCTGGAAACACCCCATTTTTTCTGCTCAAGCAGAGGAGGTTATGAACTGTGTTAACCTGGCCTGACCACTCTGGCTTCTGTTCTCAGCTGCTGCAGTGTTCTGGGTACTTTGTGGTGCTTTTACAGGTCTCTCGCTTTGTGTTTAACCCGTTTGATAAACTGACAGACTCCTAAGACAGAACTTTTTTTGGGGTGGGGGGGGCTGTTTGTTTGAGGCGAGGTGTGGGAGTCACTGAGGTGGCAAAGAGGCAGGAGGCATGTCAGCTTAAATTATCCTAACTGGTGTCCTCACACCCTAGGTCTGGGCTTTTCCTGGGAGCCTCAGTGCTCGGTTTTGGGACAAGTCTTCTGGGGCCCCTACTTAGTTAGGATCAACTGAGGAATTGCCAACCTTGTACTCAAAAGACACACTGGAAATGGCAGTGGCCTGAAAGTGAAGGATCTGACTTGAAAAGCCCTCCTGGTAACACTGGGAGGGGGCAATGGGTTATTTGGTAACAAGCCCTCCCTCTCTTTCTCTACCTCTTCTAAGGCTCTGGTCTCAAAATTCCCTCTGCTTTCCTCTGGGAAGCTGGCCCTGGAGACTGTCTTCACTGTGGTGTAGAGTGGGTAGGGAGGGCCCTGTTGAGTATAGACTTGAGACAGAGCGCTGTCACCCTTTCTGTGGCACAGGAACCCGTGGCTGGCTCCCTGGCTGGAGCTGAGAGACTGGGAGGTGAGGAATCTTCAAAGCATGGGAAGGGGGGTGGTGGTTAGGGTGAGGCTTTTGTCAGTCGGGAATCCAGAGGGGAATCCAAAAGAGTGTGTAGGGTTGGGTAGGGGCAACGCAGTGGGAGCTGGATCCTGCAGCTCTACTTATCTCCTGACACACCTTAGTGTAGTCTCCATGCCCTTCTTCCCCTAGTCTTCCAGCATTTCACAGGACAGAAAGAGAAGTAGCCCAAAAGTCATAATCGGAGTCACTGGATGTTTTAAAGAAACTTATTTTGTATAGAAAAGCTTTTCAGAGGCAGTAAGGTGCAATAGTAGGCAAGTTACAAATTTCATTTTAAACCTAGCTTATCCTTTCACTAACTTTCACTAACAACAACCCAAAACTAGGAAGGGCTTGGGAACACCCAGCTTCTGCATAGAGTCTTTTAAGTCAGGAAGCTACTGAGAATCAGCCAGTCTGGGGTTGGGGGAGGCAAAAGACCTCTCATTTCGGTCGTCTTCACAGGTGTTCTCTTGCTAGAGAAACCTTGACCTCCAAAACCTCTCCTCCCAGCTTCCTAGCTAGATTCCCTGCCTCTCCGCTTCGATTTTTTTCTTTTTTTAAACAGACTATTTTTGAAGGCACTCTTTAATAGATTTAGGCAGACAGCAGGGCTAAACCTTAGCGCTGAGCTCTCTCTACCTACACAGTGTGGAGGCCTCTGGGAACGTGCTCCATACACCTCTCCCTGATTTTGATGGTGGGTAGGTGGTAGGGAGTCCTGGGGGGAGTCCTCACAGCGCTACAGTCCTGGAGCCCAGCGCCCTCCTGAGCTCCCGAATTGTGTTCCATTATTTTCAGGGTCCTGCGACGGCATTCACTGGCTGTGCCCCTCTCCCCACAGCCTTTTTCTCCCCCGGGGATCCCAAGTCATCGCATTGGGAGACGATAATGAATTGTGGGGGTGAGGGTAGATGGGGAAACTGGTGAATGAATGTCTAGCACAATCAAGATTTTGTAATTGCTAAAAAAAAAAAAGTTTTCTTATTTTAGTCAAAGGATTGTAGCTGCTGGGTAAGCGGTAGGGAGAAAATGGGAGCTGTAGATTTGATTTAATTAAAAATAAACAAACTTTGGAAATTTTATTTATCCAGAGTGGACTTTAAGTTTTGTCTTTGGGTTTTCAGATGACTAAAGAGATTTACCTGGAGTGTTCACGCTGTCTTCTGGGAGTCTTTATTGTTTCCAGCCTGGGGGAAGGAGGCCAGGCATAGGGCTGGGTTCTCCAGGGAATGCCCCACTCCTCTATCGAGAGGGTCTCTGATAGGTAACATTTTAAAGTCAACAACTAAGACAAATACCGTGTTTAACTTCAGTGTCCTTGAAGTCCTGAGCATTTTACTGATTACCGTAGTCAATAGTGGCTTTTAGGGCGGAGAAGAATAAATCTTTGTGATGTGTTGTAAGTTGCTGTATCCCCATGACAACTTTGAACTCCAGTTATGTAGGATGCTAGTTTCTTTTAAACTTATTTCTTGAGGAGGAAGGAGACTTGTTTTGTAGGGCAAATAGTATTAATGGAATTAAAAACTATTCATGCCAAAGACACATTTAAATATCTTTACAAGTAGAGTGGTAGAAACAAGCTGTAAATTGCTTGGGAATGAGAAGGAATAGAAAGGTTTGCTAGCACACAACTTCAAATAAAACTTTAAAATGTAATGTTTATTTATTTTAAAAATTGATTCAGAAATGCTTCTTAAAGAAAGCCAAATTCGGACATTTAAATCCTCTATAAATAACCCTAAACAGAAGGATATTTTTATTTTTTAACAAAGTCTATTTTAAAAGTACTTATTTAATTAATAAGTACCTATCTTATTTTATTTGTCTTTTGTACCTATCTCATTTTAGATAGTACTTATACATTCATAGTTAATCAATTTTTTTCATAGGTAATCAATTTAAGCAGATGTAATAAATGTTACAACCATTTATTTTCAAGATTTTTTTTTTTTTTTTGGTTATGAACAGGTTTAGGTTAGTTGTAAACACCAGAAACCACCCAAATAGCAAAATGACATAAACACAATTTAGATCGATTGCATGAATTGAAGTTTTAGTGTAGGAAAATAGGAAACAGTTTTATTTAGCACTGAAATGGTTTTAATAATGTTTGAATCAGTAAAATAGCAATCATTTGTAGAAATTTTGCAGATAGAAGCAGTTAGACCCACGTGGAAGTCAGAATGTTTTAGTGTTCGGTCCTTGTGGCATGAACATAAAACTTAACATTTATCTCTGTGTGTTAATGTTGGTGTCTTTTTTTCCCCTTAGGAGACCTGAGTCACTTTCTAATCGATAAAGTGCTCAAGAACAGTATTTCTCATTTCACTTGTCTATTATTTTTTTTTTTTTTTAAGAAAAGGAAGGGGGCAGATATAGTAAATACTTTAAATAAAAGTGACTTGGGATTTATAGAAATAAAAAAATTACTTGGGCCCTACTCTGTCCCAGGATATTTGTGGGTTGCTGCAGGGGTCAGTGATCCGTGTTGATATTGTATGGCTTGCTCAGTTTTGATAAGTGGCACACTGTAATTAAGATAGATTTCAGTTTTGAAACGCTTGGGAACAGCCCCAAAGGAGGGGTCAGGGGACCCAAAGTGACTTCCCCACAGCTCATCTCAATTCCGAGGTCCTTGGAGACAGAAGGAGGATGATTGGGACTCAGCCTTCAGCACCATATCCTCCTGCTCCTTTCCTGGGGTTTTACTGGTCACTCCCAGGGCTGCAGAAGTATTGGACAAATGCTGAACCAGAGCAATAGTGACCACAGCCGGCTCCTGGCTTGGCTGCGGAGCAGAAAGATCCGTGGGGAAGGGCGCGGGCGGGGAGGCGGGCAGCGCGTCGCCAGCACGCGGCCAGGGCTACCGGGGGTCTTCCGGGGGGGCCCGGGGAGGGCAGGGAGCAGCGCGACCTCACCCAGCCTCTTGTCCCCGCTCTCGTCGCAGACCTGCTGGAGGACCTGCCTGAAAGCCGTGAGTGCGTGAACTGCGGCTCCATCCAGACGCCGCTGTGGCGGCGGGACGGTACCGGCCACTACCTGTGCAACGCCTGCGGCCTCTACAGCAAGATGAACGGCCTCAGTCGGCCCCTCATCAAGCCGCAGAAGCGCGTGGTGAGTGTGAGCGCCGCCCTCCCCTGCGGCCGGGCCCCGAGCGGCGCTCCTCCAGCCGCCCGGGCGCTTCCGGCTCGCCCCGGGCGCCCCCCGCGGGAACAGGTGCGGCGCGGCCCGGGGCCGCCAGGGTCTGCCGGAGCGCGGGAACCCAGCTGTCCCCTTCCTTCCTCGGCCACTTGAGCGCTCGCCCGCGCGCGCCCGAGTGGAGGTCGTCCCGAAACCAGCGTCTGGGGAACGAAGACAGCCTTTCCCCACATTTACACGTAGGAAATGATGTCTATAAAAGGGGGAGGGGGAAGGTGTAGGGAGCTACCATTTTCAAAATACACAAAAGTCAATATTTATATAAATCTAGATGTACTTGTAAATGCCCTAGAATATTTTGGAGGGAGACACAAGAAATTGGTCATGACTGTAACCTCTGAGTATACCGACCCAGGTCAGATGAAGATCTTTTTCTCTGTGTACTCTTTGGTGTGGTTTGGATTTTATTATGGAAAACTGTGCTGGTTTATACCCCCTCACCCTCCATAGAACATGACAACTGCAAATCCACATTCCCTTACTCTCCACAGCCTCGTCCTGGGTTCCTTTGATTTTGTTCCTTATACCTTTGGGTCCCTTCTACCTCTTCTGGGAGTGAGACAGATTTTAGCCCCCATTTCCATCCCTCTTTTGGATTGTCTTTGAGTTTGATGAAAATTTAACCTTAGTTATTTTGAAATCTGGCTGTTCAGAAAACTACATAGAACTTGAGAGAAAAATGCAGTCATGTTCTTCTCAAGTTGGGGATTTTCACCAATCCAAACACATTTTTAACTACGTTTTAAATTATGGGAATTCTGATTTTCTTCAGGGAAAAATCCCTTATTGTTAGGTGTGGTTTTAGGAGAGGGCATTTACTGCCGTAGTGATTAGAGAGAATAAATGAAAATGTTCACAGGCCCCACTGTAAGGCTAACATTTGTTTAACCAAGCACTCAGGCTCTTAATACCTTTTAAAGTAAAATATTTTACAGTGAGATGCCAGACGTCTTAAGTATCCAAGTAATTTATTTAATTGTTATACTCTAATTAGCAGGAACAAATGCTACACATGTTGTTTGTGTTAAATAGATTAGGGTGAAATTGCATCACAATGGAAGTCTGACACCTTAAAGAGAAGCAATTAGTTTTATGGTTGTTTTGTTTTTAATGCATTTAAAATAAAGTGGCTGAGGTTAATTTAACGTGCGTATGTGCCTTAAACTTGTTATATAGCCTCCTGCAGCTTAACAATCGTCTTCAAAGGGCATCCTCAACTTCAGCGTCTGACTCCCTATGGTTTTCATTTCTTACGCATCATATTCAAAAAAGAAAAAGTAGTGGTCAGAAAATATTCCAGGGAAGTTCCCTGTTTCCGTGTATGAACAGTGAAACTGATTTTTTTTTTTTTGAAAGGCACACTGAGCTGAATACTAGCTGAGTTCAGCAAGACGACATTTTCTTGAGATTGAAGGAAATACTGATAGAATAGTAGCCTTTTGGGTTCTAGTTGCATTCTAAATTTGATATAGTAACATCCATATTTAGATTGTGCCATTTTGCACACTTACTGGTAAAAATAACTGTTAGCAGAAAAGAGTTTTTAACATCTCTGAATCTGTTAGTTTTCCTTCTGTGTGGCAGGTGTTTTGGCAGTGACCAAGGTCAGCCATTGTGCTTTGTAAATGGGTTATAAATGATACCAATGGAAGGGCGTGTTCATCAATTAGTTCTTGTGAGTTTCTTATTTATGGTTTTGATGGATCTAGCTTAGTTCTCAGAATGTTGAACCCAAGTTTGTTTAGCCAGCAGTACAGAACCAATCACTGTGAATTTGAACTTGTAATATATTGCAAAATAAGAGATTTATGGTGTAACTTGAATTCCTTGTCAGTGATGAATATAACTGAGATCATTTGTTACAAGGAACTTTTATAACCCATTCACCTTCATTTCACATGTTTATGGAGACTGGCTTCACTTATGATTTGCAGTTGACAGTCATAAAGTTCTTTGTTATAATGGCAAATTCTGATAACAAGTTTACTTCACGTTGGCTTCAAATTCCACTGGAAACTGTCATAAATGACCTGTTTATAAAATGAACCTTCTTGTCCTTTGTTTAATGATTTCACATTTACACAGAGAAAGCAGTGCTCTCCTAGGAAATTATTTTATTTTAACCATAAAAGAAAAAAGAAAAAAAACCCCGATGCGTAAGATTTTCTGTGTTTTTATTGTTTTAGCAAAGCAGTTCCCCAAATAGTTTGCCTGTCAGCTAAGCATATTCACTTCAACCAAAAGTCAAATCTATTTTTTCTTAGCACTGACTTCTTAAAAATGTTGTAGCGCTAAGAGGCTTACTACCAGTGTCTCTTTGTTTTTATGACTTGTCTATAAAGAATAATGTGAAAGTGATACAATAGGATGTGAATTGTAAATGGAAAATTCAGTTTTATCTTTTAAATTTGCCAGCAAAGGATTTGAAAAATCTGTCCTTTCATCTGAATATTCAGTACACCCTCAATTCATATTTTTGTTATACATTCTTTAAAACTATTCCTTTGTGAAATTAATCTATGTAGCTAACTTCCCAAATTCTGTTAACTTTCAACTTATTTTGGTCCTTGGATTTTTCCTCACAGCTTGTTTACTGAAGTCATGGCACTGTTTTTTAGTTGCCTCTCTAGGTAATTCAATAACAAATTTAGATTTTGGCATTTTGGAGAGTAACTTTTACTAGCTTAAATAATCTCTTTATAACTTACACATAATAATTTAGATGAGATGAATTCCCTTTAAAGATATTATAGGCATAAAGGGAACATGGAAATCAGAATGACAGTGCCCTTTCTGATAATACCATTTAATCCTTTGTATGAACAAAAGTTGGGTATTGTACTGATAGGGTGAAGAAAATATATCCCTATCACTGTATGTAAGGTAATGCCAGCATTAAAATTATCCTTTGTAAAATGAATAATACAAAAGCTCAGCAGTCAACCGTGATAATTATAAGACATGTATTAAAATATATTTCTTTATAAAAACATTGTACATTTTCCAAGATCCGTTCCTATCAGTATAACATATATAGGCCCTTCTAAAGTTTTTGGGTTGTTTCTCTGGATTTATCTGAGAAATAGACGTGGTTATCTCTAGTTTCCAGGTGAAGTGGAGACTGCACAAAGCCACTTAAGAACACTGGCAGGTATTTGTGATTTGTGATTGCATTTCATGACTTCTATCTCAGACCTCTGACAACAGTGAGCACAGTTATTGGCCAACATTGTGACTTCGTTCTGGTTATTCTATCATCTACGCTAATATGCTGGAGCAAACCAAACACACACGTGGGATGGAGCACTGCCCCTGAAACTCCAGTTTCTTGGTCCAGAAAGGTCAATCTAATTACCCTTCAAATTCTTTTCCCAAGGGACCTTTGATTTATAATAAAGTACATGCTTGTTGATGACAGGGACACGCTGCATGGATGTACATAGCATATACATAAAATCACTTATACCTGTGCACTTACTGTCTTGTGCTACTTTTTAGCCTTCCTCCCGGCGGCTTGGATTGTCCTGTGCCAACTGCCACACCACAACCACCACTTTGTGGCGCAGAAATGCTGAAGGCGAACCTGTGTGCAATGCTTGTGGACTCTACATGAAGCTCCATGGGGTATGCCGCATATTCTGCTCATGTGTATACGTGTTTAGGGTCTTATTTGTACATGGTTTTAGTCAAGAAAAAAATCAGCCAAGGAGAGGGGATGAAAGTGAAAAATCTGATTTCCTATGTACATGTTTTTGAATTTAGGATGTTATTAATTATAATATAAACTATTATCTCATATACTAGTAAGAAACAAAAAATACTGCCAATTGAACTGTCACACACATCCATTGTAAGACATCCCAATTTTAGAAATACTAAAATGTGAAAAATGTGCATTTTAGAGTCAACAACATGGTAGTAACCTTTTTAAAAAACTGTATATTCAAAGGAAAAAAAGGCATGGAACCAACTAGAAATGCACAATAACTATATCTTTGACATTTGGGGAATGCAGCAAGTACTTTTATGCAAAGGAGCAATAATATATTTGGTAGTTATAGTTAGCAACATTCTGTTACTCATTTTAAGCATAGCACGAAATATTATAAACACATTAATCTTAAAAAGGAAATTAACCTTGTATGTGTAGGAGAGAGAGAACACATGATCTCTTTGAAATAAAAATATGTACTTCTTGGTTTTACTGTAATTGAAGCTGTTTAAAACAATAAACAGTGAGTTGAGGGAATAAATTTTCCCTGGCAAATAACCCCATTCTCTCTGAGGGAATCTGCATTTGATCGGGAAAGTGTAGCCTTTGTCCAGGTTGGAATCTGTTGCGCATGTATCAAAATTGGACTGAAATTCATGCCAGCTTCTTTTATAAATGAGGGCTTTCAGTACCGATGTTGAGTCTTTAGTTAAAAGTTGTGTTTTCTTCCATATAATGTTAAACTTAAGGCCTATATGAACATTTTTTTTAGGTGCCTCGACCGCTTGCTATGAAAAAAGAGGGAATTCAAACCAGGAAAAGAAAACCTAAGAACATAAATAAGTCAAAAGCTTGCTCTGGTAAATACAGTAAAATGCTATTTGATTGTAAAGCATCTGCTAACTTGAACAGTAGAGTATGTGTGTGTTTATGAGGTTAATTTTGATTTGCAGGTAGTAGCAATAATTCTGTTCCTATGACTCCAACTTCCACCTCTTCTAACTCAGATGACTGCAGCAAAAACACTTCCCCTACAACACAACCGACATCCTCAGGGGTAAGTGTTAAAGCAGTATGTAGACTCATTCTAAGCTAGGGGGTTGCGCTTGCTCTCTAGTCTATTATCTCAAATTTTATCTTATCTGGTAGTACAATAATCTAAACCAACAGTTCGGTTTAGTTAGCTGATACCTAAGAATAGTTTTTAGAGGAGATTACATTTGAATGTCAACAGAATGACAAACGTAAGTACTTTACAAACCTCTTAATTAAGATCTGTATCATTTTTTATGGTTAAATTAACCCAAGTAAAAGCAAGAAGTTTTGAAGTGCTTTCCAGAGTTTTAGTTGCAGGTTTCTATCTGAGCTGCCATATATATGTATTTCTAATGTAGACCAGGAGAACTAGGAGTCAGAGGTTTTATAGATCTCAGTGCCCATGGCACTTAAATTGCTTTTGCTTATCATAGAGAGACTCCCATCTTTTTTCCCTTCTCTCTTCTCTTCTCTTCCTCCCCCCGCTTTTCTTTTTTAATAAAATCATTTACCCCAAGAAAAGTTCATCACAGTTTGTGCTGTGCTGCTATATTCACCGATCTTCCTTTATCCACTGCCCTCCTGCCTTGCCTTCTTCTAACTCACCTTCATGGCACCCAGGCTCATTTCAGCCTTGCCGCAAGCCAGGGAGCAGTTCTGGTTGTGAGTAATTACTGCTCTTGAGGGTAGAGATGCAAGGGTCTTCGCGAAGATCACAGTTTCTGTAAAGCTGTGACCGGAAACTCCGTTTTTCTCAACTGCCGAGCACCTAGTGTTTCCCACATTTACCGAGTGTTTCCCACATTTACCCAGAATGCTCTTTAAAAATGACCAGGCCTCACCCTAGACCACAGCGGAAGAGGTCTGGGCTGCAGGACTGTGGCAGTGAGTGGGCCTCGGTGATTTTAAGGATTACACCGAGACTAGTTTAAGTCAAAACACGAGCATTAAAATCCCTGTTTACTTAGTAATTGTTTTTCACATTTAGCTTTGCCCTGTTTGGGGTCCTTTGAAATGCTACAGATTCCTGGGCCCCACCCTGGATTTTCTGAGTCAGAGTCTCTGGGGGTGGGGCTTGGAAAGTTGTGTTTTTGAGCGAGCGCCCCAGGTGAAATTGAAACTGTTGCCCTCGAGGTGTCTTCTGACCGGGGTTTGGGAACCATAGAGCTGTTTTCTCTTCGTCATATTTCAAATGGTTTAATAAGCAAAAATGAGACATGAAAGAAGTTTTTTAGGCTGCTTAAAATTATATTTGATATTTCTCGTCCTCCATCCCAAATTCTGTTGGGCTTTTGCTTTTTGCTTTAATCACACAAGAAGTCTGTTGAGTTTCACAAGGCAAAAAGCCTTTCCATTGTTTTTTGTTTGTTATAGATAGATGTTAAAGAACGTTTCTAGCCTTTATGAAAGTGGACTCTGGTGTATGATTTTTTTTTTTCTTTAACAGAAGGGTTAGGTGTAATTTTAAGGGTCCAAACTGGTAAACAGAACATTTACCTGTGTGGAAATGGAAAGATAAAGATTATTTAAGAATGTTCTTTATTACACCCTAAGTCCTAGGCCACACCTATGTAGTAGTAGCTACCTACATACGGCAAAACGATGAACCGGTTTTTGAAAGCACTAGGGTAGCAGCCAGGTTTTCGGCTTCAGTGTGATGTCAGTCGCTCCCAGCTGAAATGAAGCTCGCTGCCAGCTTCGGGTCACTTTTGTTTGTTAAGGTGAGCTTAAGCATGGAAAAAGCCAAATGTGAGTGGTAAATGGCACAGAAATACAGGTGTTTGCCCCTCGTCGGGCTTTGGGGGCTTGGAACCACAGTGAGTGGGGTTCGTTTTGCTCTCATGGTTTTGACCAGAAGGGACCATTTGCAAGTCTGATCAGTTGTCCTCCAGGGGAGGAGCCATGGGAAGTCAGTGACAGGCTGCGGCTCTGGCCTGCCTGGAAGAGGGACCTCGGGAGCTCTGCTGCTGAGCTCTGGGTGCTTCAGGGGGCATCTCTCACCTGGGACTCAGCATGCTGGAGGTGGCTTGCCGGTCAGTGCCCTTTGGAGGAACGCTCTATTCCCTGCTAGAGGCCAGGAGGCAGAGCAGTAAGGATTGTGGAGGTTGGTGGAGTTTGAGAGCAGTTCCGTGCAAAGTCTCGTGCAGCAAGCCCCCAGCATTCCCTTAGCCTGTGCAGCCTCCGCGGGAGCCGGGCCGTGCGAGCTGTGGACCTGACCAGGGGGCAGCTTGCAGAGCCCAAGCAGCCTCCAAGCCTCTGTGACACCTTTTCTCACGGCCGGGGCTACAGCTTGCTTGCCCTCCTCCCTTCCCTCTGTAGGGACTCACCTCCCACCCTTCCCCCACCTGGGCTCCACAGGCACCCGGGCTTTCGGGGTTCTCTCGAAGGTTAGTCCATCACGGATGTCTCCAGCAGCCCCTACCTGACGTGACTGTTGTGGGGAACCAGGCCTACCGCACAGAAGGCAATCTGCTGGCTGCCTTTGGAAACTGTCCCTCTCCAGGAATAATTGTTGTAGACCTGAATGGTCTTGCCGGGTTACTGCCGAGGAGTGCCACTATGTGTACTCAGTGGCCCCTTAGAACCTTCAGAGCCTTCCCTGGGTGTGTGCGGCCGGCCAGGGGCTGGGAGAGCTGTGAGGAGGACCACGCTGGGGGAGCCTCTGTGAGCAGCTGGCCAAAGCATTTGTGAAAGGTGGCTGCGCTGACAAGATGTGTCCTTTTCCCATTTTGGTCACAGTTTGTGATGTTGGAGGGAGCCGGTGTCGTGACTGGATGCTTCTAGGAGTTGGGGAAGTGCCACAGGTGAGGGAAATGTTATGTGGGCAAAGCCGGGCTGTGCCTGGTACTAGTACACACGGCACCCTGGTGGGCTCCTTTGATGATGGGTCCATCCCACTGATCTCCAGTGGCCCCTGTGGCCCACAGGTGGCGGAAGTTAGTAGTTCAGGGTTATTTCACTTTAATTGGGACAACGGAGCTACAAAACAAAGGACAATCTTAGGCATACTCCCGGTGGAAGGCAGGAACTGGGGGCCACCTGAGATGTAAGTGGCGACATAACTGCTTGTCCATCTTAATGATTGTAACAGCAAGGAAGTCAGAATGTTTGTTGCAAAGGTCCACGTCAAACCTGCTGTTCCTTTTAATTCCCCCCTGGGAAAGTGTAGGACATGATCAGTACGCATTCCCAGCAGGCTTCTTTTATTTATTTTTTTAAAGTGTTTTTTTTTTTTTTAAGTTTACTTATTTATTTTGAGAGAGAGAGAGAGCTTGCACAAGCAGGGGAGGGGCAGAGAGAGGTGGGAGAGAGAGAATCCCATACAGACTTCTCACTGTCAGGGCAGAGGAGCCAAATGCAAGGCTTGAACTCACAAAGTGTGAGATCATGACCTGAGCTGAAATCAAGAGTCCGGACACTTAACCAACTGAGCCACCCAGGCGCCCCTAACAGGCTCCTCTTAAATCCTGATGTTCCTACCCTGTCCTGCATGTGGGCATGTTCATGTGGGGACACCAGGTGTCTGTGGCTGGTTTCTGAGCTAGCCCAGCAGGAGCTGAATATTCTGGAGAGAGGGAAGCTGCTGCTGTGAGCAAAAGCTCCAGGGTTCCCTCCCCAACAGCAGTGAAGGAGTGGGCAGGATTCCTAGCACGCAGCATTTGGCATTCTTCCTTGATAAGTGTCTAAGTGCCACAGAAATCATTTTTGCGGTGCTCTGAAGCCTCATTTCTTTCCTTATTTGTCGTAAAGCTGCAATGTCTTAGCTTTTTATATACTTGTTGCTAATTTGTGTTTTAACTAGATCTCTTGTGAAAGGAGACATTCCTTCTGATGGTCATCAGGTCATTGACCCAGCTACTTTATTATGACTCAGTTTCTCTTTGTTGTAGGTTTTGTATGTGTGGTGTGTATATGTTAGAGGTGGGTTATATGTTAGAGGTGTATATGTTAGCCCTTGCCCACAGGGCCCCTGGGTGGCTCAGTGGGTTAAGTGTCTGACTTCAGCTCAGGTCATGATCTCCCAGTTTGTAAGTTCAAGTCCCGCGTGGGGCTTCGTGCTGACAGCTCGGAGCCTGAAGCCAGCTTTGGATTCTGTGTCTCCCTTCCACCGCTCATGCT